AAATGACGTCAAGTGAAACCCAGCAATAGACAGGAAATGACGTCAAGTGAAACCCAGCAATAGACAGGAAATGACGTCAAGTGAAACCCAGCAATTCACCTTTTCGGCGCTAGCTTAGATTGTATTACGGTCACCAAAAAGTTTGGACATTGTTATCGGATTCCCATACAAATTCACTGACTTTAAAGAGAAAATATAGGTTGATTTCTTCAGTTAGCTCTCTTAACAGCAGTAAGAAAAGCTTTAATCAATTTAGAAAAATGATCATTTACTCATATTTAGAGAAATAACTAAACATTAACCAAGTAAATAGTTCATTTAGAGTCAGTACATTTGTACGGAAATTCGAGAACAATGTCCGAACTTTTTGGTGACCGTAACACATTCTAAAACAATTTAAACCCCGTGACGGCTAGCGCCGAAAAGGTGAATAGACCCCTTAAGCACTTCAGAATGCAGCTCCATTTGGAGGACATAACAATGGATTTCCAATTCTTAGGACCTTGTAGTTCTTTTGTTTTGTCATCCAAATTGAGCTGCTTTGACGTCACATGCAAGGGGTCCATAGAGTGTAGTTTAGTATCTGGTATAATTCTGGATAAGGAACGATGGTGGATTCTGAATCCTTGGATCTCGCATTCCAGTTTGAAATCCGGTTTTAGGAGTACATAACATTTGCATTCTGTTTTTCTTTTTTAATCTTCTTCTTTTTTTTTTTTTTTTTTTTTTTTTTTTTTTTTTTTTTTTTTTTTCCTAGGCCACCTCAAGACTAGAAACTTTAATTAAGGTTTGTAACAAATGAATGCACGCATTTTAATATAAACTTATATCCACGGCCCCCTCCGTAGAGTTTTTGACATTACTCAGTCCATTAGTGTAGGAAATTGATAGCATGCACTCGGTTATACGGCGCTTTCTGAGCCACGTATGCGAGTTGAGTTTGTCCGATGTGTTGTTCTCTCCCTTGCCACGAGGGTTTTTCTGCGGTTTTTCTTCCTCCGTAAAAATGAACATGTTAGTTGAGTGTTAGGTGTGCTGCAAAAAAATCATCGTAGTGGTAGTGTGTGTGGAGCGAACCTCAAGGAAGAGTCACGTACGGAGAGTGATGGTTGTAAAATATACAATGTGCCGTAAATAGACCTTTACTGAGATAGCGAACATAATAATAATAATGAGAAGAAAAGCTTGTAAAGCGCTTATACAAGTCTGTTGTAAGCCCTAAATTAGATTACAAAGAAAAAGCTATTTTAAATAAATGAGTTTTAAGATTAGTTTTAAAAGAAGATAAATTAGAAATATCTCTAAGTGAAGACGGTAAAGAGTTTCAAAAATGAAGAGCAGCAACACAGAAAGAACGTAGACCATAGGATCTGACATTGCGCTCTAGCTTTGGTACAAACATCTTTTGTTTATCATGTTTATATGGTGTTGTTCGTACCATAGCTAGACCACAATGCATACTGTTTAGAGCAGTTTTCGTATGACTGTGAAAAGCTCAGTGCCGTAAGCGTGACGTGCCGTGACCGTGATACTTTCTAGAATTTTAATTGGCTGATTTTTTCACGCGCAATATGATTGGTCTAAAAGTGACATGATCTTGGCGTGACCGTGTCCGCGCCGTGTTTATGCCGTGTTCCGGGTATTTGATTGGATGGAGAGTAAATTCTCGTGCAGTGTGATTGGTCTGGCGTATCCCTTGCCGTGTCACGACCGTGTTCGTGCCGTGAACTTTTCACAGTAATACGAAAACTGCACTATCAAGCTCAGAAAAGGTTTACGTGACCCTTGTGAATCATCAGCAGTGTAGAGATAGTGCTATCCTCTCATCCTTGGTTCTATCTTGTATTTCAGGTTTAAAAAGACTCCACTGCACTAAAAATCAAGCTTATCTACATTAAGAATAACGTTTGAAATAAGATTCTCTTCTCGAGCCAAGATCATAAAATAACGAAATGACATCTCAAGGTTATGTCAAGACTATAATTGTTAATCACTAATAATATACGATTATTAATATTAGATATTTGTTCTTTACAAGAAATATCCTGCTATTAGAGATCCCTTTTTGACTTTCTTTTTTTCGTTGAATCTTTTTGCTCGACTGGCTTCTGTTGTGGGTCGCCGTGATCGTTATGAAAAACTACCTCTGTCTGCATTTAGCAGTTTTGTTTAACAAGGCTGATGTGGCGCCTCTCACTTGGTACTCATCTGAGTAGAGTTTGTTCTCTTCGTTCATTCGAAGGTTTTACTAGACGTTCTATGGTTAATTATATCCCTCCACAAAACCTAACAAACTAAATTCCAATTTTATATGAGAACTTTGCCCTGACTTAGATCAGCCCAGAGGTTGTTCCAAGGTTCAATCTGTGAGTTATCCATACCCTGACTTAGATCAGCCCAGAGGTTGTTCCAAGGTTCAATCTGTGAGTTAGGCATGCCCTGACTTAGATCAGCCAAGAGGTTGTTTCAGGGTTCGATCTGTGAGTTAGCCATGCCCTGACTTAGATCAGCCCAGAGGTTGTTCCAAGGTTCAATCTGTGAGTTAGGCATGCCTTCGTATTTCAGGGCATCGATAAAATTTGAAGGTTTTTGAATAACAAGTCGAACGCATAAAACCATACAGCGGTCACCTAACAACACTTTAGCCAGTTACATACAAAGCGAAAAGTCTCGCTAAAATGAAGGGAAAGAAGCGAATAGCAGAGCATACACAAGTATTATTTCTAAGATGAAGATATAAAAATTGCACTCCTTAGAGAGTTGTTCTAATTATAGACAGTTCGTGGTTAGCAGATAATAGGTACATTTACAGATGTCATTTTGTTTTCGTTTCAGCTATTTGAATTTTTTTTTATTTTTTTTTTATTTTTTTTTTTTATAACCTTGCTTGATTTTTTCATTCTTAACGTAAATCCCACGCGTGAGGAAAATATATTGCGCATGCTCGGAAAATCACGAGCGCTTATCGACAGATGACGCTGGTGTAAAACGTACTGGGCATGTTCGGAAAATCACGAGCACTCGTCGACTACGATTACACTGGTGTATAATCTAATGCGCATATAAATAAAATATGATCCAATTTATATCTTCGCTTTTCAGAAGAAAAATAAGGGACCATCTCAGTGTGTCCATAAAACGTTTGGCAGAGTAATTGAGAATTTTTGCACAGGCTATCTTGCTCTTTGTCAATTTTGAGAAGTGCCCGTCATCTTGCCGCTATTTTTTGCCGTTCGGCCGAACTCCTACGCACGACGTTTTGAGTGTCATTTAATGTAGTTGGTAAACAAATATTCAATACATCTCGCTCACAGTACGTTTGGCTTTTTTCAAACGTAACTACAATATAGCACTTTTTTTATTGATATATCAGCATGTACCACCATTTGCACTGAAAGTAAAATTGAATTGAGATTGATTGATTCTTGTAGTCCTCTAGAAAACACTGAGTTAGGAAGTTGCTCGCTCGCTCCAGCGCTTCTCGATCGTAGGATTCGTCATTGCGAGAGATAGAAAATTCTACTACCGAAAATTGCTAGAGCGAGAAGCCCTCTGAAACCTAGGATATATCAATATATTTTTATTTTAAAAAATAACACAAAAAAATGGGATAGCATGACACCCAAGGTAAAGACGTCGAAACCTCTCGTTTGCTTTGCCCTTGTTTAAAATAATAATTGGAATTTAGAATTAACCTTTGCTAGATG